TAGCAGCTCTTTTAGTGGTGGCAAAGAATTGGGAATTGAGGTAATGCCCATCAATTGGGGAATGACTGAACAAATTGTGGTATATGGTTATAATGGAATGCTATTGTACTATAAGAAATGATGAGCAGGATGCTCTCAGAAAAAACTGGAAAGACTTACATGAACTTATACAAAGTGAAATGAGCAGAACCAAGAGAACATTTTACATAGTGACGACAATATTGTATCAACTGTGAATGACTTAGCTATTCTCAGCAATACAATGATATAAGACAATTCCAAAGAACTTAGGATGCAAAGTATTATCCATCTCCAGAGGAAGAATGAATCATGCTTTTTAAATAAATACTTTTTTTCTTGTTTGTTTTTCTGCTTGTGTTTTCTTTCCCAACATGAATTAACATGGAAATGTTTTGCATGAGTATAACTTATATCAAATTGCTTGCATTCTCAATGAGGAGGGTTGGGAGGAAGGAAGCAAGAGAATTTGGAACTCAAAATTTTAAAAAATGAATGTTAAAAATTGTTTTCACTTGTAATTGGAAAAAATATTAAACATAAAAAAGAATGTTTACTTGCTTGATTAGAAGATACTGATGTTTTCAATTGTTCTATTCCATATGCCTATAGGGACTGAATCTTTGGCTAGTATTAAATTTCAGAAAAAAGAGCAGGCATGATAGAGTGGGAAAATGGAATAGACTTAATACTAGAATATCTGGATTCAAACACTAGCTCTTTCAATTCCTTATCCTATGAACTGGGACTTTTTGGGTCTCAGCTTCCACATCAATTGAATGAGGATAAATGAGATGTACTATATATCTTCTAGCTTTGCTGCTAGGAAAGCTCTGTAAAGTGTAAAACAGTATATAATATCATTAGAAAGTAATGGAGAACTAGTAATGAATTACATTGAAGGACTGACGTCCAAGAGTGGGCCTTAAATTATCTTCAGGCTACATATCTATAACTTGATCCTATAGGTTAATTATTGGCTGTGCTTGATTTTGTGCTGTGTATATTTGGCATCCAAAAGTAGATTTATTTATGAGCAAAAGAAACTTTCTGAATCCTTTAATGAACTTTATAGAAACTTAGCATTGGTATAGAACCTTTATAGAACAGCAGAGGTTTAGCTAAAGTGAACAGGGTTTAAATTGCCTTGCTAAAACTCCAGAGAGTGGTTGAAAAAAGAATATAGTGTGTTTAAAGGCATTTATCTAGTAGAGATACTCAGTTTTGTTTTAAGTTGGACTCAGGTCTTTCAACACATGCACTTACTGTTTTGGGAACAGACTGTCAAATACCAGAGGTATAAAAAGAATATGGGACAAATAAAATAATAGCTAGCAGTTTAGTAGGAATGAATAATGAAATTCCATCAGTATTCATTCAAAAGAAATCATATTTTCCATGTTTTCTAGATTGTGACCCCAGCCACAACAGACAGGACAAAAATTGATTAGAAAGACACAGTAGTTAAGGAAAGGCTAATACTGTGAAATAAGTCCAGAATTTACACACCACTTTCTCTGCCAAAGGTAGGATTTGAACCCAGGTCTTCTTAACTCCCTTCTAGTTGTAACTAAGATGCTAGCATAATAGGGTAGCAATGAAAGAAAGGCTGTTTTAAGTTTCCTCTCAGTTTTACAATTAAATAATAGGAAGTCTAGAATCTATAGTGCTATTTTAAAGAGTGTTTAAAGAAACATTTTCTGGTGTTCCAAACATGATCTTAGCAATTTATCTGTATTGGAAGTATAATAATAGTCATGCAATCTAATTGAACTTTTCACAGTGCCTGGCATAGAGTAGGTACTTAATAAATGCTTGTGATTGATTGATCAATTGATGAGAGGAAAGTAAGTAAAATTATTCTTTGGACATATATTCTCAGTTTGCTTCCTTAAATCCATTAAGACATTGATTTGGTGAAACAGTTCATCTAAGTTCATTCACTGTTAAATAAATATTTATGAAATTCATTCCAAGGCCAATGTACCTCACTGCTACACATTCAGCTTTCCATTTATAGTCTGTCTTGATGACAAGCTGTAATCTAGTCAACACCTCATTGCTTGGTTAGCTTTAGTAGCTATTACCTGTTATTCATCACTGCATTTTATAATCTTAATAGTTTAAGCTTTAATTAGGAGGCAATAAATATATGGCTGATATAAATTCCTGGAACCAATTTAAAGTGGTCTGGCATTGCTTATGTATCTGTACAACAAATTGGCGTCAAATAATTAATCAGATAAAATAAATAATAATAATAGCTGACATTTATACAGAACTTTTAGTTTTTCAAAGAATTTTACGTATATTATCTCATTCGATTCTAATAATGACCCTATGAGGTAGGTGCTATTATTCTCCCCATTTTATAGATGAAGAAACTGAGGTGCAATGGGATTAAATGACTTGTCCAGACACAGGTCTTCTGACTCCAAATCTAGCTTACTCTATACAGTAGACATCTTAAATTCAATATGTCCAAAGCCGAACTCAAAATCAACTTCTCACTATCTCTCCCTCTGTTGTCAAGCCACGTCTATATCTCCTTTGCAACATCTCTCGTATGTGCATATACCCTTTTCTCTCCTTTGACACTGCCATCACTCCAGCACAAGTCTTCATTTGCTTAGACCTGGATTATTTCAAATGCCTGCTTATGGGTCTCCCTGTCTCAAGTGTCTCCCCACTCCAATCCATCCTCCATTCAGCCACCAAAATTCTTTTCCTAAAGCATAGGTCTGATCCTGTCAGGCACACCTACCTCCCATACCTACTCCACCACACTCACACCCCTGCCTAATCAATAAACTCCAGGGACTTCCTTTTACCTTCCAGAAGCAAATACAAAATACTGTATTTGGCATTCAAAGCCCTTCATACCCTAACCCCCTCCTACCCTTCCAGTCTTCTTATACCTTTATTCCCACCACATATTCTTAAATTCAGTGACACAGGGCTGGCTATTTCACCAGTAAGTTACTCTATCTCTCAGCTCTGGGCATTTTCTTTGACTGTCCCCCATGCCTACAATGCTTTTCATCTTCCTCTCTGCCTACTGACCTGCCTCACTTTCTTTAAGACCCAACTAAAATCTTGTCTTTTACTGGAAGCCTTGCCTAGCTCCTCTTAATTCTAATGCCTTCCCTCTGTTATGTCCTCTCTATCCTGTATATACTTTGCATATATTTTGTATATATTTCTTTGCATGCTGTCTCCCCCATTAGATTGTAAGCTCCTCGAGGGAAGGTATTGTCTTTTGCTTCTTTTTGTATCCCTAAGTGCTTAGGCAGTGTGTGTTCAATAAATGTTGATTGATTGATTTTTCATTAGGTGCATTGCAACACAGTTGATAAGATCCCTGGACATGGAGTCAGAAAGACCTGGGTTAAAATTTTGCTTTTGGAACTTACTGTGTGATTCAGAGCAATTTCCTTAAGCTTTTCTATTGAGTCATAGATGGAGAAAGTTCTCACACTATGATGGCATACATTCATGGATTTGATAAAAAAAAAAAACTTGAACCACTTTGATTAGCTAAATTGAACAAGTTTAACATTGATATGACTATGTGCTTACTTAGAATTTCCCTCTCCCTCCTACTAAAACTTTTTTTTTAATTACACTAGCTAATTAGTAAGCAATTAGCCCATTTCTGTCTTTGCTCTAAAAATAAAAGGAATACATGGGCATTTCAATTCTTTGTCTCTTGTGATTTCTAAGCAAGGAAGCTAACTTAATATACCTCCTCATCTGTAATCTTCCCCAAACAGTATAATTTGAAGGATTCTTTTATTTTGGCACATTTGAATATAGCAATTCTTCATTAAAAAGGAACCTTAGAAAATAGGCTACCCTTTGTGAGTTGGATCACACCGTGCTAAATAATGAGATATGGGAATACTGTGAACAGCTTGATTCCTCCTGACTATTACTTAAGAGTCTGAAGTGTTTTAAGCGAGACTGTGTCGCCATTAATGAGAACTGTACAAGAGGGAAAATCACTTCAGGGCTTTGTTCTGTTTTGAGAGTTCAATAAAGCTGTTGGGTTAAAAAAAATAATAATAACTTCATGTTTCAGCATTACCAGGACCAATCAGCATTGCAGAATACTGGTATAGGAAACAAATTATTGTGAGTCAGAGAATGTTAGAGCTGATTGGAACTTTAGAGACCATTTTTTCCAGTCCTGTAACAGCCCTAGGAATGAGAAATGAGAAATGATTTGGCCTATGTTATATAGAATGTAAACTCCTTGAGGGAAGAAGCAATTTTTGTTTTTGATTTGTAATTTCATTCATATCCCCAAAGTCACTGGCACTTAGTAAGTGTCTGAGGTCAGATCTGATTGATCAATTATTATAAATATTTAATTGCTTATTTTACTGTATTGTAAAATCAAGGTTCCTCCCCTCCCCATCCTCATCGTGTGTTATATATTGTTATGGGCAGCTAGATGGTACAGTGGTTAGAGTGCTAAGTTTGGAGCCAGAAAGACTCATCTTCCTGAGTTCAAGTCTGGCCTCAGACACTTAATAGCTGTGTAATCCAGGGCAAGTCACTTAACCCTGTTTGCCTCAGTTTCCTTACGTGTAAGATGAGCTGGAGAAGGAAATGTTAAACCACTCCAGTATCTTTGCCCAGAAAACCCCACGTGGAGTCATGGAGAGTCAAACACAACTGAAAACAACTGAACAACAACACGTAAGCTTACCTGGAATAAAATTCCTTGAGGGCAAGGACTGTTTCACTTTTGTCTTGGTATCCCCAACACATAGCATAGTACCTGGTGCGTTATCAGCTCTAAATGGCTGTTTGTTGATTAAGTGCTTCAGATGGAGTTGCAAATATGAATACATATTTCAGTGTTGTTCTGTATAGGGTGACATGGCTTCTTTTCACTCAGGGGTGGGGGTGTGGAGGGAGCAGCTCCTAAGGGAAACAGTAGGATAATTGTCTTTTGCTTCTTTGAATCTTTTCAGAGTTGAATCTTCCTGTTGTCCCTTCTGTATGTCTGAATGAGCACACACAGGTAAAACTGAGCACTTCAAACCATCCTTCAATGACAGAGAAGTCTCATGGGACACACCCTGTACCTTTAAGGCCCTTCTGGAACTGGCCTCATCAGCTGTAAGTTCATCACCCTGGATTTTGGGGCCCAATCCCTAAGGAGTGGAAATACATAAGGAGGAAAACACATAGTGGAAACCTCTCAACAGAGGGAATACATAAGGAGGAAAATGCATAGTGGATTTGGAGAGTTGACATGCTTGGTGTGAATTTATTTCATTCCTTAAACTTTTCAATTATTGAGTACTTGTAAGAAGATGCCATCTTTGGTTTTCTTTTGAAGTTCACCTATCATAGGGTAAGCTTTGAGGTCAACAGGGCTTCTGATCAGTAAGATACCTTTAAGGAGCTGAATTTTAAAATTTCAAACTACATTTGAAAACCATATTTTAAAAAACCCTCGATTATATAGTCAAATGACATGTGCAGTTACTTTTGTTTAAGCCAAGCAGTGACATATAAGATAGATACCATGGTAATAGTGATAATGCCAACTGATAAGGATATCAAACTTTATAGTTTTCAAAGCTTGTCATAGAAAAACAGTCCTTTAAATATTACAAGAAAAAATGGCAACTTACAGTTCTCTCTAGAGTTAAAAAAAAGACTCAAATTCTTGCCTAAGACTTAGAAACCTTTACCCCCTCTTTTTTTTTTATCATCATTAAGCACCATTCCAGCACTAACTTGTATTCCCTAAGCAGCTATGTACTTATCGGACGAGAACAGTACTCTATTCTAGACTTTAAAATGTTCATTTTAAAATAAGGGCAGTGGACAATTGCATTTTTAAAAAATAAACAGTATCAGTACAGAAAAAGTAGTTTATTGGATTTGGGCATCTTTTGAGAACCTATACTGTGAGGACTGTATAATTCTTTTTTCTCAAATGCTTGTATGCTCTCAAACTTGAATGTTATTTTCTTTTGATAAGGAAAATTAAATTTTCTTAATATTGTATGCATTGAACCAACTTAATTGCCTTGGGATGTTGGATGTTTCTACTGATAGATTTAGCTAGACGGTAGCCAGAAAATTTCTTGGTGACCTGAAGGAGCCAGAGAGAGACAGAGGGCCAGAGACAAAGGAAGAAAATCTATGTGAGACAATATGCATACATATACATAATACATATATATGTAAATAAGGAAAGGATAATAATTATTTGCCTAGAAGACATACCAAATGACTCGGAAATATGTCTCACCTGTTATGCGATATGAAAATCAAACCCTGGTTTTAGGTTTGAGTGGATAATTGAACTTTTAAAAGTGTTTCATTTATTTATTTTTAACATTCATTTAAAAAATTTTGAGTTCCACATTCTCTCCCTCCCTCAAGCCCCTTTCCCACTGATTGAGAAGGTAAATAATATACCATTCTTCATGTTAAGTTATGTAAAACATATTTCCATATTAGATATGTTGCAAAAAAAAAGCAAGAAAAATAAAGGAAGTGAAAAACAATATGCTTTACTCTGTACTCAGAGTTCATCAATTCTCTCTCTGGAGGTGGATAACATTTTTCTTCTTGAGTCCTTTGGAGTTGTCATGGGTATTGATTAGAATAGGTACGTGTTTCACAGTAGATCAGCATCATGATATTGCTGTTACTGCATATGATGTCCTGGTTCTGCTCACTTCACTCTGTATTACTTCATGTAAGTCTTCCCAGGTTTTTCTGAAACTATCCTGCTTCTCATTTCTTATAACACAATAGCATTCCATCACAGTCACATACCACAGTTTGTTCAGCCATTGCCCAATTGATGGGCATCCCCTCAATTTCCAGTTCTTTGCCACCACAAAAAGAATATAGCCACCCTTTCAAATTCCTTGCCTTGTCAAGGAGAGGACAAGGGAGAAAGGGAGGGAGAGAATTTAGAACTAAAAAAAAATTTTAAATGAATATTTAAACTTTTTATTTACATGTAATTGAGAAAAAATTAAATTAAAAATTGGTGTGTATATAGGTCCTTCTTCTATTTCTTTTATCTCTTTGGAATACAGACCTGATAGTTGTATTGCTGGGTCAAATTGTATGCAAAGTTATATATGCCTCTGTGTACAGTATGTATAATTGAAATGTAAAGATATTCTTCAAACCTTATTTTAGCTCACACACCTAATTTTTATCAAATTTATCATCTGTAGCAAAACTGAGGATAGTTTGTCTCCTCTATCTGTCACTGTATACCCTCTGGTGGTGGTGCTAACAAGTACAAACGTTGCTAAAAATTAGACTCCAGTTGAAAGGTAGAAGGGGGTTAAGAGCCCAAATCAATTTACAAATTGCTAATCAGCCTCTACATAATCAGGAATTTATTATTTTTGCTTTTCAGGAATCAAACACCAGCCTCTGTGACACATAAGCAGCCTTTTAAAGCCAAAGATTTGTCTGTGATCATTAAAGCATATGTGTTGGTGACATCTTTAACACCTCTGCGGGCCTTCATTCATTCAACTGGTACCATTTGGAATCCACCCAAGAAAAAACGTTTCACTGTCAAGGTAACACTTCTTTTGAAGCTGTTATTTTATGCAAAGTGAACTGAACAAAAGTGAAGCTATATGAATGACCTTTCTCTGACCTTTATGATTATCAATTCCCATTGAACAGAAAATCAACCTTTTTATTTCTGCAGGCAGAGAATTTCATTTAAGAGAACCAGGCACCATTTCAGAAATAACCTGGAAAGTGTCATTCACTAGAGACTACAAGGACTATATTTATTTTTTCCCTAAACTCATCATTTTGGTTCCAGTTTTTGACTTGTCACAGAAACTACCTCTCAGCCATAGTGCTGATATCTCTTAAAAGAGAGGTCATTAATATAGCAAAATAAAAGTAGAATTATCTTTCCTTATCAATTCTCCTAGCCTGCATACTAGGAAACACAGTGACTGTATTATTATAAATTATGAGTTTAAAACATGCATGGAACATTAAAGACATTGTAGTGTCTTGCCCTGCAAGGACATTGGAATTACACATATAAACTTTAAAATTAGTACCCCATATGCTTCCTGAAGAAGTGATGTGTTCCTGAAGAAAACAAAGATGGAGAAAGCTGCTAGACAAGAAGAAGTATACAAAGAGAAGGTTCTTAAAACACAATTTTGAGAATATTGTGGAATCTGTGTTTAAGATGTATTAAATAATGCCAAAGGTATAGGAAAATCTCTGACACTATTGCTTTAAAAGGTAACCAAAAAACATCAATAACTATGATTACTTTTCCATCCACAAAAAAATTTGTTAAGATGATAATCTACACTCTATCGATGACATTCTTGAGTGGAGTATCAGAAGGAGATAAGCAGGCTTCCATAGGTTATATTCCACAGCAGACCACATCTTTACTGCAGCACAATTGACTGAAAAGCATAGAAAATACAAAATCTTATTATGTGTACTTTTTGCTGACTATAAAAAGGCATTGGATTTTGTAGAGTAAAATCCCACCTATGGGTTTTTCTTCAACAAGGTATTTCCCATGAAGATGTCAAACTTTTTGTGATTCCTTGAAAGATGTTTAGTCATTCCCCAATTGATAGGAATTCTCTTAGTTTCAAGTTCTTTACTGTCACAAAAAGAACTGCTCTAATTGTTTTATACACATGGCTTTATTTCCTCTCTCTGATATCTTTGGAGTATAGGTCTTATAGTGATATTGCTGGGTCAAAGATATGTAGCAATATAAGTAACTTTGTTCCCTGAAGCTTTGATTGTTAATATTAAACCACTAATAAAACTGGAAGATGAACCCTCACCAAAGACACTCTCTACTGTTATGGAAAAGGTCTAGTGTAAAGTCCAAGTTAAAGTAAGATTTCCAATATTTTGTGAGAACCCTCTCTGGCAATGCTGCTTCTTTTTTTTTTTTTATTATATTGCATTTATTGCTTAAAGCCCTAGAATATTACGTAGCTGCCTATGTGAGATTCACGGTCATAAAAGAGAGTTTGGATTAACAAAGCCAATTGGATGATGACTACTTGTCTTAATTATAATATGCAGCTAGATGGATAATTTATAATCTTGTATAAACAGATGAGAAAGAATTATCTGTCTATCTATATATCTAAATACGTAGATCTTTTTGAGATATAGATAGATCTAAAGAAATAGATTTGTCTATGGATATAGATATGCATATCTATAGATATAGAGAAATAAATAAATATACATCAATAGACAAAAGTATTTTGTTGTTGTTTAGTCATCTTTTTAGTTGTGCCCAACCTTTCATGATTCATTTTGGGGTTTTCTTGGCAGAGATAATGGAGTAGTTTCCATTTCCTTCTCCAGCTCATTTTACAGATCAAGAACGAAGGCAAATAGGGGTTAAGTGACTTCCCCAGGGTCACACAACTGGAAATTGTCTGAGTCTGGATTTGGGCTCAGGTCTTCTTGACTCCAAACCTGGTGCTATATTCACTGTGCCACCCAGTTGCCCTAGATATAGGTATAGATATTGATATATAGATAGACGCAGAAATAGATATAGACATATAGATACAGACATAGAGAGACATCATGAACTGGTGCCGTAATTAAACAAGAGAAAGTAGACAGGATTGTTTTGGGGCAATTGTATCATTTTTAAAAAATATTTTGATTTATCAACAATCATTTCCATATGCTTTTGAGTTTAAAATATTTCTCTCCCTTCCTCCCCACCACCCTCCCCAAGACAACGTACAGTCTGATATAGGCTATACACATACATTGTTATTAAACATATTTTCACATTAGTGATGTTGTAAGTAAGAAATAGAACCAACAGGAAGAACCACCAGAAAGAGGAAACAAAACTCAACAGAAGAGAAAAAAAATAGGGAATATTATGCTTCAATCTGCATTCAAATTCCATAGTTCCTTCTTTGCATGTGGATAGCATTTTCCATCATGAGGTCTTTGGAGATATCTTAGATCCTTGTATTGCTGGGAAGGGTTAAATTTATCAATGTTAGTCATTGCACAGTGTAGTTGTTATTGTATACACTGTTTTCTCGGTTCTGCTCACTTCGCTCAGCATCAGACCATACAAGTCTTTCCAGGTTTTTCTGAAGACAGCCTGTTCATCTTTTCTTATAGCACGATAATATCCCGTTACATTCACATACCACAGCTTGCTCAGACATTCCCCAATTGATGGGGCAATTGTATTATTTTTTAGTGACCTAATTTTTCTGTAACATAATGTATGAGTCTTAGTCATAGAATACTACAATTACCAAGGAACTAAAGTTGAAAGAGCAATAGAAGTGCATGGTGAGCATGATCAGACTACAATATGTTATGAATTGGGCATTATGCAGAAAGTGTTATAAATATGACCTCAAAAAAATGTATGACTGAAACAAAAGACAAGTCCACAATAAAAATGAAGGAAGGCTACTGCACTGCTGGAATATTTACTTCATTTATACTGAAAAAGTCAGTATAATGTAAAGATGTCCCTCAGAAGTTTTGATGGATGTCTTCTGCTGAATCTGTTGGTGGACATGAGTGATAGCTATACAAGATGGGTATTTGTTGAACAGGTTGCAGTTTGCATAGAAGGGAAATCCACATTGATGAAATCACAGATCCATTTGAAGTATTGAGTGCCCTGCCCCAGATGAATGCTTCATAAATGTTCAGTTGACTTGACTTGATTTCCTAAATTGTTAACATAATTTGTCATGATTTAGAAGAGGATGGAAATGTTTTCAAGGAGGAAATAAATAACCACTAAATAATTATTCAGACTCAGAATAAGCCAGATGACCCCAACTGAAAAAAAGTCTAGTAGATACATGTTTAATAGATGAAAGGGGACTATAGGTTCCACACAAGTGAGGCTGCCAAACATGAGGAATAGAAAATGAAGAATGCATGATTGTCACTGGCTCAAGGCAGAGCTCAAAAGGCAGTGAACTTGATCAGTTGGAAACTGACTATGTTTAAATTTTAAGTCCTCAATCAAAAACTTTAAAAATAAGCAGATCTCCTAGAGAATTTCTTCTGAGATGCAGAGTTAGCTTTGTTGGTGTTTACATCTATGGCTTCCTTTTAAAAGGGAGATATGGGTGTCTCCAACAATGGAAATGTTTTCTTTTCATTTTCAGTGGAAGGATGGAGTCTAATGGTGTCTTTCATTCCTTCCCCAGATTGGGAATCTTTTGTGTGATTTTCTCCCAGCTAGTCTTTTAAGGAGTTGCAGTTGGTCATTTGTATCTTGTTGTTTTTCCCCCCTTACTTCTACTTTCCTTAATGCTTTTCTTTTACTTTGTTTTCTGTAAAAACAAAGCAAAAAGCAGCAAATTTTATGGACCCGTTCCTTCAAGAGGAAACAAAAATATAGAAGGCTTTCGATATTGTGGTTCCCCTTAGATGTTCATTCTTTATTCACTACATTGTTTCTTATTCATCATTTTTTAGTACCTGTGGGACAAGTGCCAGATGTAGTGGTGGTATAGAAAATTATGCAAATCTCCTCATTCCTTTCCTCACTTTGGGATTTGTATTTTCCAGGGCAAGGCTGACATTTCCTGTATATTACGGTAAGCCTGCTGTCGAAGGGAGACTGCAGACAGCAGGCTTCCATGGTAAATGAGCAAGAGGGCAATTATTTCCTTAAAAAGCCAGAATCCTACTTGATGCCATAGATAGGCTTCTAGCATATGAGGAAATATTTCATTCACATTCCAGTATTTATTGCTTCTGCTAGAAAACTAGCTTTTATTTGGTCTCATTTAAATCACCCATTCTTCCTTCCAAACTGCTTCTGCTGGGTACCTTCGGGTGAAAAAAAAAATGCAGCACAAACATTTTTGAAACACTAGTTTTTGCAGGAAAGACTAACGCTCCTCTTAGGCTAACCAGGTTATATCAGGGCTTTAGCAAATGCAATTGTTATGTTTTTGAGGAAGATAATTTGACCCCAAGTATAAATAAAACCTTGCAATAATGAGCTATGCCATTACTATTTAAGTGCACAGCAGTTTGGTTTGTGACTTTATCCCCTTCTCTAATGAGTCCTGAATTCAAAGGTCTGGGTTACTAGTCAGATCAGTAGAGGTTTATGTGCTGCATGCACTGAGGCAAGCCTGGTAGGCAGGTTATCATTGGCCATTTATGGAGCATTCTGGCAGCTGAAGAAGGAATGAAAGCAATAACAGATATAACTATGAGGTCATTTATTTCCAATCAGGTCTGCTGCTGTGATACTTTATCTTCTAAAGCTTTAGTGAGAGTTGGGAAAATAGGAAGAATTATTGGTACAGTGATATGAATTTAAATATAAATTTGGAAAATGATGGGGAAAAGACTACATTTAACTAAATGTTTAAAAAATACTCTAAACCCAACATCCTATGTATATAAAATGAAAAAGACTAAGAATTTGAGAGTTAGCTGTTTTTCTGAAGGGCATGTTAATGTAAAAAATAAAATTAAAGCAAAAGCTATGTCTTAGAATATGCTTACTATAGTTTATGATATGATATTAAAACATAGTTCT